AGGTAGGTAGGTAGGCAGGGAGGCAGGGAGGTAGGTAGGCAGGGAGGTAGGTCAGTCGGTAGGTCGGTAGGTATGTAGGTGGGTCGGTTGGTCTGTGTCTGTGTCTGTGTCTGTCTCTGTCTCTGTCTCTGCCTGTCTGTCTGTCCATGCATGCATGCATGTATGTATATGTGTGCAACCCAGTGGTTTTCGAGCCCCATGCTAGTCTGCAGCAGATTGCCCCCACCAACCCCATACTCACCTCATCGCTCAGCAGAGGTTGGCCGTCAGCGTCGATGAGAAACTTCAGATGCGGGCATGAAGACCTCAGAACCCCAAATCAAAGAACCGCTTCTAAAAGAAGGGAGGCCATCGCTGTGCCATCGCTAGTAGGTTGGATCGCTATTAGCTTGCCCATTGCTATCAGGCAGACCCACCTAGCTGCCCGCTTGGGGGATCAGAGACAGGGGTCGCTCCTTTGCTGTCCAACAGTTACCCGGCCAGTTCAAAAGCGCGTCCGCCCAAGGTTTCACCCCGCTCGGTGTTCGTCAACGCGGTGAAAGAAGGCTCGACTCTCCGCTTCAAGAAGGTTCGCTTCTACCAAGGTCGTGACGACCACTCGAGCACCAACTTCGCAGCATCCTGGGCTTCGTCCTCCATCTCCTTCGAGTTTGTCTTCACAAGCCCGAAGACAAACATTGAGAAAGGAACTGGAAGAGAGGAGAGGGAGAGAGATCCCATGCATGGGTGGCAGAATGAATGATATCCACGTATGTCCAAAAAAAACATTGAACATCCCTTGGTACACTACTCTGTTCATATTTGGGGTACTTGTCTCTGTTTCACTTGCACAAAGACTTGTCATTGGAGAAAAGCTGACCCATAGTATAGTCATAAAAGGATGATGGGACATTCATACCCCACTTCAAGGGTCACAGTGTCAGACTGTATCTGCCTTCTGCTTCTCTGTTTTTCCTCGCTTCAAGTCTTTGGTAGGTTTTGTAGTCTTGGGCTTGAGCTCCTCAGACAGGAGCAGCGCATTGTAGAAGGCCGGCGCAAGCTCGGTACAACTGCTGGCATGAAGCATCTCGCCTCCTCTAGCCTTTCCTTCTCCTCGACCAAGAATTGAAACTCTTTCTTCATCTTTTGTAGCCGTTCTTGCCTTTGCACCATGTGAAGTGAAATCGAACAAACTGCGGGTTGGAGTATGGCACAGCTAAACTGGCAAAGCTCCAGACAGCACATCTGCTTTGGAGGCCGACAGGTCATCTGGCCTTCCATCAATTCACACAAGAAGCTTAAGCTGGTGCCAACAAGCGAAACAGCCGAGGAAGCGGCTTCACTCCAGCTGCCCTGAAATGGCACACACAAAGTCACACCAAAAATGCAAGATTATAAAATGGCTATAATATGTCTGTGGGTCAAAACCGGGACACGCTGGTTGACCACCGAAAATGAACAGAGTAGACTACAAGGAATGTTGATCTACCTACCAGGGTTTGGGGCTCCAGGTTTTGACCCACAGCCAAGTAGAAGCTTGGGTCCGGTCTCCATGCGTTCATTCAGCGCTTCATCCTAGGTGCAGGGTCACAAGGCCGCTCTCTCTATTTACAGTATTCATCCCAGCTCAGACTCTCAGAGCCAAGAGGCTTTGGCTTGATGAAAGACTTTCTGCAGGCTTTGTAGCACGGTTCGCATCTGCAAATCGAAAGCTGAAATCAGGAGCTGGAACCTTGGCCGCCTTGGCCACTTGGCGCACCTGCAAGATGGTTTCTTCCATGGCTGGAGCCATGTTGATCAACCTCGGTCATGAAGGGAAGTCCTAGGTCACGAAGGGACCCCGTTTTTCTGCAAGCGTTTCTCTGCTCAGAGCTCTTGAATCATTGGCACCGGGTCAACTCCCTGCCAAGGAGGGAAAAGGCAGCCGCACAACAACACAAAATGAATCAGGATCCATACAAATTATGTACAGTGTCAAAAACGTATCCAATAATCCAACTGAATAGATAGGCCTGTGCATCGTCAGAATCATCAGCTGGTGCCTCAAGTCATGTGAATATGATGGGCTGCTTGTAGTTGAAGTCGTAATGGGAGAAGCACTCGAGAAAAATGTCAACTGGAATCCCATTAGGTCCAATGATGCCAAGAAGGTAGGTGTAGGTCACCTATGTTGTGTGCAGAGTCCACAATGTCTCTGGATGATCAATAGGATAGCACATTTGGATTCATAATTCGTTTCACCCCATGCAACCGTGAGCGCATCTTGCTTGGTGAATACCGTTCACCGTGCATGTGCACTTGGTCGCAAAAAGTACTCTTCCACCTGCAGTGCGATTGATTCTTCATGGGGCAAGAATCCGTTCACCAACCCTCAACTCAATGCCCAACACACATCTTGGTCCATCAAAAACGCGGCGTCCACCGGGCTCACACCGAGCTCCCCAGCGTTTCCCGCCAAGCGCTCCATGAGCCGCGCGCGCCGCTCGTTGCGCTTGAGGATCCGCTCCAGCCTTTCAGAAGCGAAGGAGCGGATCCACTCCAGCAAGGGACCAGAGCCGCATTGGTTCAAGTTGAGAAGGTTCAGGGGCAGACTGGGTCTTTTTCATGGAAATCGTCTTCGCCAAGTCCTGGAAAAGGCGTTCCTTGCTTCATCTTCTTTCTGGCCAGTCAAGGTCGCATTCCGACATCCCTGTCCTCCTGACGCTGCTCCGAAGTCGATAAAGTCTTAAGCTGCTTCCCCAGCTCTTTGGCCTCCAGGTCACGGGAGAATCTGCCTAGTGAGGGTAAAGCTTCTCGACTCGATGAGAAAGCAAAACTAACAATGGTGCGTACGTGTCGAATTGGCAAAATCAGCTCTGTCTTCCCAACCAAACTCGCACTTGTTAGCTGCCCCCCCCACGGACAATTTCACCGGCTTAAATGGTATGCCCCTATTTACTGTAGCTACACTGCTTAGACCCTCCAAATCCCCATCCCCGTCCTTGTGCTCCAACTCACGGCCTCAGTCGATCCGACGATTCGCGATTGGCGTCGTCGCGTCGTCGCGATTTGGCTCGCACAGTCGATCATGATCTTCTCGGGATCCTGAAGAGCCCGCCCCGCTCGCTGGGGCGCCCGGTCCAAGGATACTTCATGACGTACACCGGACACATGGAGAGGGTGAATGAGGGAGAAGGAACGCAACAAGGGACACGACACGCACGGGTTCAACGTCTTCAAAATGAACATGCCCGACCTTCAGTCATATGTTCGGGTGATGTCACATGTGGTTTGTTGCAGCGATGGCTGGGCCTCGAAGTCCTTCCCACCAGCCTTAGCCGGACGGGAAGTAGGGAAGTACCAGGATCAGTCAATGACAAACTCCTGGGATAGGTGCGTCTTTCAAAAGCAAAAGCCAAAAAAATGCTGGGTCGTTGCTCCTCGTTCCAGAAAATGTAACGTTGGCATTCCTTCCTGTGATTTCTGCGCCCTCTCCAGTTGTTCGAGTCCAAGCTTTCAGCTCGTTCTGCCAGCTGCCGCCCCTCCTGTGTGGAAACCATGGGCGAGCATGAAAAGCGCGGCTTCAGAAGGGCATCCGACATGTGATATTCTCCATCTCCCAATGCTGAGGGAGAGCTTCCTTCACATGGAGCCCCCACTTGTAATCTCAGGTGGGACCATACTGTAGAAAGTGGACAGGGACAGGTCTTCCTTCAGTTGAAAACCTGCACCAGTTGGCAGTTTGTTTCCTTCCATGATGACTAATCTGGCTATACTGTTTTCTGGGCGATTTCAATGATGATGTCATTTTTGGAGGTCCAGCACAGCAGCGAATCCAAAGACTTTCCCAATTCCACTCCTCAGTGTTGAGCACCTTCTCACATGCCTCTTTGCGAGCTTCCGAGCGTACCTCCAGCCATGTGAAATGCGTCCTGTGGCTTGCGCTTGAAGGCGGAAGTTCTGCACGCCTCCTAGAATTGAAGAAATGAGGCTCCAGCCCTGGCTAGCAACTCTACCTCCGCTTCAGACAATCCTTGTGCGAGGGTGAAAAATCCATGAAACGCCATGCTTCTGAACCAAAGAGAACAAAGTACAATGTTGGCTCCAAAAGCCACAAACTCTGTGCTCCAGAATTGTGCTCCAAAGAGACCAGGAGGGGCCCATTTCAGCAAAATCTGCGAGACCTCCAAGGGCATGACCACTTCGAGACCCTCCATCCTGCGAGATGACTGCGGCAGTCATACGCCCACGACACAACGACACAACGACGCAAGGGCATGACCATGGCCTCCGCATCATCGGCGCCCGAATCGACCTGCTCCCGATAAGACAAAGCCAAACTACTTGGACCATCTTGGACCCTGCATCCGGAACGAGAATCTCGGGCCAAGGCCAGGGTCATCAAATTGGCATATTGCCTTAGTCCAAGCTGCCCAACTGCTACTGCCAGCAAAGGTCGCTGAGGCTTGGGTGGTCAGACCCCAACTGCTCTGAGGCCCAAACTGCCTTTTGCCTGTCTCCATCTCCACCCTGGTCTTCCGGTATGCGGTCCTTGCACATCGGACATCCCCACCACGCTCCGGGTTCAGTTCCTGTCACCCCCGGTCATCCCCCCGTCAGAGTCTGAGGAGCAAGCTCATCCTGCTGGAGCGAAATGGCCTGAAGCCACTACGATTAGGGCACCGGAACTCACGACTTCCCGACAAATCAAGATCTATCCTATTGGCAGGTCACAGTGGGTCTTTTTTCCGCTTTGGTTGGTAAAGGCCTTGTTCAAAAACGGCGACCATGGTTTACTGACAGATACAGGATGATAGAGGTATATAGAGGTCATAGCACAGACCCAAGCAGTTCCCGACTCGACCTCCAAGATCTGGGTCGCCACCGCCCCCGCGCCGACAGGGGCAGGCGCGTCGTCTGGCATCGGCCAGCGGAGCGGAAGCGATGGCTTCGCCGGTCATCGACCGAGGGAGTGGAGAATTCATCCGATGGCAGCTGGTTCAGGCGAACCCCATTGCAGGTCTCCGGTTCTTGTTATGAAGATACGTGGAAAGCCAGGTGATGCATGAGGGATCTCTGCTTCTTCAACCCCGGTGGGCAAGCCACCCTCTGACACACTCACAAACTAGCCTGGACACACTCGCATGCTGTCATGCGCCTCTAGTCTAGTGGGGGGTGTTAGAACGCCAGGATTTCACTCCAGCCTTTGGACCCCTTGGGTCCTGCAGCTTTCAGATCGATGACCCCAGTCTTGGTGTCCCAGAGCTTGCTGCGGACGCCCGGAGTGCTAGCGGAGATATTAGGATGCGCCCATGGAAAGATATTGATTGGCTATCAATGCCACAAAGGCAGTCCTGTTCAGGGACCTGAGCCTCTAGCTTTGCCGGCTTTGCCCAGCGAAGAAATCCCCCCGTGTTTGGGTCAGGCTGCCCCAACCAAAAGAAGCGCGTGAGGGCGGATCCCCTCCTGTGGCAGCACGCTTGAGCCGCTTCTGCTGCTCTGCTGCCACTTCTGCAGAGTGTTCCACTGATTGCTCTTCATCGATCAGGCTTTTCCTTCGCATGGACTGGCGGTCAATGGTGTCTTGCCTTGGCCACACAACCCCCAAAAGAAAACAACCCTTGAGCCTTGAGCTTCACACAACAATGACCTACAAATCCTACAGGAGCTTTTTGCCCTCTTCTGCTTGTCCTCTCTAGCTAGATTAATCCGGCTTAACAACACATGGAGCATGTTCAAGCCTACATCACGTATGGCTCTTGCCGATCAACCTTTCATCACTGACACCCGAGAACGACGACCCTCTGTGGCCGCACGGATCTGAGAGACTGACAAACCATCCCAGAACGTGTCGTAGGCAGATCTGGCAAATTTTTCCTCAAGATTCCCCAAGCTCTTCGACCCGCCAAGTCGACTCTGAGAAAAGAAATGCGCAGAGACGACGAGGAGTTTTCACCATATTACACCTCATCGAAGCCTCTCACGCTAACCCAACAAACACCACCTGCTCCAAAAAGACCTCTTCTGGTTGTTTTGGTGCAGGTCTTGTTGAAGCTCTCCCAAGTTCCCGACTCTCAAGGAGTCCATGGTCTCCAGCCGAAACTGCGCCACCTGGCTCCGTGGATCAGGTCCGGACGCGGAAGGCTTTTCTCCAAGCCATTGAACACGGAAAGCGGAGTAAGAAGGTCCCGTGCCTTCTCCATAAATCCTTTCATTAGCCTCAGTGTTCCAAACCCGCCCAAGGGGGCTTCCTCCAGCTTACGGAACTTGGCCCATGTCCAAATAGGATTGGCAAAAGCTCTGCTGTGAGCTATGCGGAAGCAAGATCAACTACTCTGCCTATGCTTGAAGTGGGAGGGACCACTAGAGACAAAATTCCGGTATGGATGGCGCCCGTCCAATGCCAGGTCCTTTTACAGGGGCCATGGCAAGCTGCGTGTCGATGTGTCAACTTCGTCAAGCACCGACATGCCATGACACACCAAACAACCTCTCACCCCATCCACACCATCCTGGACCAGCCAGCCGAAAGTTGGGCCGCCACACGTGGGGATTTTGGCATTGCTCTCTCCGACCAAAGTGGCAATGTCTTGGCCTGACCAGGTGCACTGAGGTCAACACCAACCTAATCCACCAAAGACTCCTGAAAGAATATAGAGTTACTTACATAGATAGTTACTTACACACACACAGATATATATATATATTATATAGTGGTATATGTACATATATATATATAAACACCCCCCAGGACAGGGAAAGACCTGCTTCACACACCAGAGGTTCGCATGCAATGAATGGGAATCCTCCCTGCCAGGGACCAGCGGTTGGGTGCCGACCGAAATGCGGCACACTACCGTGGCACCAATCCGAGAATCCGAGGGGCGCACGTTTGGTCTCCAGTCCTTTCCAGGTGAACTCCGCCGTGGCCTCGATCACAGGGGCGAGGATGTTTGGAACTTCGTGAAGTGAGGAAGGGGCTTTGATCTCCACACGCTTGCCTGGAAAGTTCCTAAATTTTTGCGCAAGGTGTCACCCATCCGATCCATACGCCCTATTCGATCCATCTCCATATTCGGCCCCCTTCCCATACCTCGGTGTCGTCCAGCATCTTCTCAGATTCCGCTTGCAAGGATTCCAAGAACTCCATCAGCCCATCCATGTCCTCGCCGTCTCGACCCCCGGACGCTCGGTCGGATGCTCGAGCAGTCGTGTCTGGGGACGACCGATCCCCTCCACGGGTGAAAGCTGGGAAAGGTGCAAGACACCAACTTCCCAAGAGCCAAAGAGAGGAAACCAGGTTTTTCCAATGAAGCCCCACTTCCACAAGGGTTGCGATCCGGATCCGCACGAGTCTGCGCCTTGGCAGCCTCCAGGCGATCCGCGATGCGAACAGAGGACAACAGGCGGCCCACCTGGGAAGGTCGGTTTGAACATCATCCCAGCGGCTGATATATAAACCAAGCTGGTGTTCAAACGTGCTGGCTGATCGTGTATCGTGTGTTTTCAAGCTGGTGTCTGACCGGGTCCCAGCAACAAACATCACACATGCAAACAGTCTGGTGGCCACGGTGCTCGGTGGCAGCAAGCGAAGCCCCATACCACTGCAAAAGGTCAGAGTAGTGAAAATAGCAGTTTATCAGAATCTTGAATCATAACGCCTGTGCGATTCAACCACAAAAAGGCATCGGATCAAAGACTAACAGAGTCTCCGCTCTAGCTCGTCAGTCGCCGACCTGCGCCTTCGACAATTCGAGGTTGAACTCCGCGGCGTTTTCTTGGTACAACCAGAAGTTGCGACAGCGAATCAAAGCCACATGCACAGTGCGTCATGGAGTAGAACGGATGCAGATATGTTCCCATCTTCTCAGCGGGCGAAATCCACACACCCGAGGTGGCAGCCATTCAGCAAGTCAAGCAAATCGAAGTTCAAAAAGTTGTTCTCTCCACCCGTCATGTGCAAATCGTTGTCACCTGGGTGATTTGACGTATTGTCAATCCAAGTGGTCATCATCCACGTTCAACATGTTGGAATCACGGGTGTCACACTGTTCCTATCATCATCCGACTCATCAGCCACAGCCACCTGCTCCAGTTTCAGGAACCTTCCCCAAAAGAAAGAAAGAACTGCACAAGTAAACAGCACAGGCCTTCTTGGACTCTTGAATTGTTTCCTCCTGCCCAATTAGGAACAAAACATTGAAACCAAAGGATTTGAACCAACCACCGAATGCTTCTTGCATGCAGGTCCTTCACAATTGCTGGGCGCATGTCCTCTTCAATCCTGCGTACATGTCACACTCAATGTCCTTCTCTTTAACCCAGGTCGCAGTGGCAGTTGCGATCCCAGAGGTTGAATGTGATGGGTCAGGCATCAAGATTAGAAAAATCATCGCCAGCTGCCCAGAGACTATGGATTTTTGCCTTCCCGCAACCAAGCCCCCGGCCTTTCATTACTTGGCTGGTTCTCATCTTCAGGTGTCTCTTCCTCATGCTCACCTCTCAGTCTCATGAGCAGGGGCGCAGTTCAAGCGCGGCCAACACAAGCGGCCCAACTTAGAAAATGCACGAGCGTAGGCAGCAAATAGCACAAGATATTTGTGCGCGGCAGGAAAATTCAACTCACGCACAGCACAATTTCAGAGCAACCATGCCTAGGCCACACTACCTCAAAAAATGTTGAAGTTTGTGACAGGCGCCCAGCTGCAGCAGCACCAACACCAGCACCCAATCTCCAAAGCACGCGAGGCCGCACTCGCACCCTGCTACAGCAGCACCCAAGGTGCAAGGCACACAAGGCCATTGCCATAGCACCCAAGCCCCAAAGCCTACGCCAGCACCTCTTCCTGGGCTTGAAAAAACCACAAACTACTTTCGGCTATCTGGAAAACAAAAATGTTCAAAGCACAATTGGCCACCCTTGATTTACACACCGGTGGCACATCTCACGTAATTGATATCCATGATGGAACCCGTGAGGAAGCACTGGGCGTCGAACTGTCACTGTCAATGTAAGGGTCTTTCACATATATGACTGCCTCGGATTCATCACATGAGTCCAATATCATCACATCCAAGATCTGGGTGACCACTTGTAGCATCCTACCCACCAAAGCTGCGAACTTCAACGGGACCGAACCCTGCAACCCATCCACCAACATGTGACACTGCACTAAGGCAGCCCTGGGGTCCCGACCAAATTTTTCTTCAATATGTTTGCCGACTCCTCAAGCCAAAACATTTGGCCAAAGTGTTTTGGTGGACCTGTTGTAAAGTAATGTGTGTTGAATTTGTACAACAGTAATATGCCAGGTATACATGACAAAATGAAAAAAAATACGGTATATGCAGGAAGGAACCCACAAGTCCCATAAATATTTTTTGCAGTCTGTCTGCCTGCCTGTCTGCCCTTCTGCCTAGGTCTGCCCTTTTTCTGCTTGTTTGCCTGCCTGCCTAGTGGTCTGATTGTACTATATTAGTGTGCGTGGACAACTGCGGTGGATCATTGTGGCCCAACACCGCGTCCTTGATGGCATTCACAAAGGCAGTAGTCGTGTGAACCACGGCCATGCTCTGCTCTTACCGCATTCCTTCATCATGCTTGAGCCCTTGAATTCTCATGCCAACTGGCTTGTATCGTGCGCACAACAAAATGTGTCAATCCCAAACGCCGGCTGCGCGGATTTTTGCCTATTGTTCCATAAACACTGCGCATCAACTAGGGAAAATTTGATTATACCACCACAAACTGTTTGTGAACTTCTTGCACGACCAACAAACAAGTTCCCGAAGATATTGGAAATTGATGTGGGCCCAGAGCATGTGCACGAATGAATAGTAATAGGTGGCAACATTTTGTCAAGCCTGGCAGCTATGAGAGCACACATCACACGCCATACATGATACATCATAGGCCGTACATTTTGTTCCGCAAGGGCAGCAGCGCGAGCTATGTACAAAGGGATCTAGCGCCAAGCCCCTCATCCGGCTTGGGGGAAGGGGCTCCGCCAAGCGGAAGACTTTGGGCATGAGCCTGTCCCCTTCTGGGCGCAGCTCACCAGCCCCCCAACCAGCGGCGATGCCAACCGGCGTGCACTGTGGGGGGCCCTGGGAGCGCGGAGGGGGGCAACAGCCCGCACGTAAGTGAGGCATACCGCCCCCCTGCCGCCTATCTCGCACGCGAGGGTGACCAGGCGTTGGGGCCCCGATTGCGCAAGCTTGGGGTAACGAGCGTCTTTACGGCGCGCGCGATGTGGAGGACGTGCCCGTCATTGCGATCGGCGCCGGGGTGTGGGCTGCCGTCGGCTCGAAAAAGGGGACACGAGGTGCGACTTCGCAGCAAAAGGCCTTGCCAGGGCGCGAGGCGCCGTAAACGACGAGGTCCAACCGCCGCTGGTCTGCGGGGGACACCCCGGGGACAGTGGTGTAGGAGAGCCACTGTTTGGGGGACAACTCGGCCTTCTCCTCCTAGGGCTTCCCGCGTGACCCGGACCCATGCTTGCTCCAGCAAGGCGCGTGGCGGGCGAGAAAGGCACGACGCCGACGCTTCGCGACCCGGCCACCGCGCGTCCAGCCCAGGCCGCCCAGTGCGCAGCTGGCACGCTATGAGACACGAGGGCACACCCAAGCCTCCATCAAACTGCGGCAGGAACGAAAGCCTGCGGCGATCCAGCCCACGGAGCCGGCACGGGGCTCCCCCAACAAGGCCTGCACTGTATCCGAGATGGCCTGGTCGTGGGCAGCTGCATGCCCGGCACTCAACTCGGGTGGGAAGATCTGATGAGGTGCTGCCGCGGCGCGGCGCAGTTACAGAAGGAGGAACCAGGCGCATTGGAGGTCTGGCAGGTCAGACAGAGCGGTGAGCAGACGGCCAGCCCTGGAAGAGGCCTCTACGAACGCAGAGAGGCCAATCGCCGTCCAAGGCGATAAGGCCGCGCTCGTGGGCGGGCCGGTCCCCTGATTCACTAACTACATCTGCCCGACACTGGCCCCCGCTCTGACCCAACGGACTATTAAGATCATGCTTCTGAAACAACAAGGCCTGGAAGCCGTGATCTCCTCCAACATCATGTCATGAATGCACAGCCCCAACATCTAGAGCTTGCACTCTTTGGACCACTTAGCCATCCTAAGCCAACTTACCACGGAAAGGTCCTGCTTAGGCATTTTTACATTTCCGGTCCGCATCCTAGCGATCTATGATACCGGCGCGAGTCCTATTGGTCTCTCGCCGTAGCATTTGGAGCATGCTCTGAATCCAGCAGTCTCCAAATCTTCAAAGACCGGCTTATTATTTGACCCTCCTCTCAACCACGGCCAACCGCACTTTGTGGTCCATTGGGTTGGGTCAGCATGAAAACAACTTGGCTTGTTCGCTTCATGATATGTGCGGCGGTCCAAATTCAGAACAACCTCAGGAATCATGCTCAATCGCATCTCTCTTCTGAACTGCTGTCGATCTGGGTATCTTGTCGAAATCGGCGATCTTGATAGTTCCTCTTTGAGTTGGTTTTCTGCTTGCATCCATGCTTTCTCCATGCCATTCTGTCTTGATACAAGGCTTGAAAGCATCTCGCCAATACTGGCTGCATCCCTCATAGTGTTCAAAATCTGGGACGATGCTTCGTGGGCTTGACCGGGGTAAATCAGGGTGGTGTTGCTGGAGTGCCTAGCCAACCATTGGATCGAAGCGAACCCCAAGCCGCGGCGGCCCAGTTCCTTGATGCCGGATCTCCTCGTGGTGTGCCCGGAGACATCTTCCCACCTTGAAGGATGGCTTTTCCGGATGTTTCAGCAAGACAATCCTTGCCAATCGTTGCATCTCTTTGATGACTGATGCTTTGTCTGCTCTTTGCGTCGGGTCTTCCCTTTCACCCTTTGAACATGTCGGGTGTTTCGAGCTGTGTGTGGGATCAAATTTGAGATGCGCATGAGCTGTTTTGCATGAGCTGTTTATGGTTTTGTATGTGATCAAGTGTGAACTGTGCACGAGCTGTTGATGGCCTTGTGTAATTAAATTGAAATGAAAAGCAAGTGCGCCCCTTTTGGCGCCCACGATTCGAGCCTAGTGCGGATGTGAGTGATACGTGCACGGACAGTCATGTATGCTCATGCTGGGTTTACTGGGTTCGACCGAAATCCTATCACCCCCCTTATGGCTGTCTGCACACACATACTACAGGGATGCAGGGTACGTGTTGTACGTCCCTGGATGTTGCCACAGGAGTGGTGATGGTAGCATTGCCCTGTTGTCGTCGCCATCCACTCCTGTCGTTCCAGCACAAAGCTTGTATGCTCCAACTGGTCTCGGGCAACCTGACATGCAGCAATCCTGTTTCAGCTCATCGTTGCTTGCTTCCCACACTGCCATGGCCTCTTTGGCCTGTTTCAAATCTTCTTTCAACCTTTCAATCTCCAAGTCTTTCTCGCTCGGATTCACGGCCATTCGTTCCTTCTCTCTCAACACTTGTATGTAGTTCTCCCTCAACTCATCTCGCTCGCCACGCAGATCAACATTCCTGTCTTGGTGTTCCAGGCACTGTTGCATCCACATGTCTCTCTCTTCTTTGATCTCTTTCATCCTCTCACGTTGCTCTTCACAGCTTGCCTCAAGCTGTATGATTTTCCATTGCATTTCAACTTTCTCCGGATCGGCCTCATACTCAATCTCTGATGGCTGCGCCGTTGTTGCTCCTGCCTTCGTTTGCTTGCACTGCATCAACTGTCGTACTCTGTTCCATACCCACCGAGCCAAGCTCAAGGCTCCGACAGCTGGCAATGTTGCAACTGTAAAGAACAACCTTGTCCACCACAACTCATCACTGTCCTCTGCACTGATTTCTGTCCTTGTACTGTTGCTGTTGCTGTCTATTGTATTGATCTCCCTTGTCACATGCCCTTGGCTTGTTTGCAGTAGAGCCATCGCGATGATCATGGCCACTCTTGCATTTCCTCCAAGGCTTTTGACACTTTCCCGATGTTCTTCTTCATGTCCTTTCTCTTTGATCTCACCGTACTCTTCCGGCCAATCTTCTGGTCATCTCCGTCGATCATCTTGATCAAAAACTCGAGACCTTTCATCCTGGCCTTGCTAAGGATCTTCGTCCCGATGTCACTTGTATTGACTGAAGTGCGAACTCCAGTCACCCTCAACTCCTTTTCGCCGACTTTCTGCTGGAGCCATAGGAGTCCTGCTGCAATGCGCCTTTCCCACGCCAACTCTTCCAGCGAGGGATCTGGCTGCTGATGAATCACTGCGGCAAACCATATCAATGTCTTCTTCTGTAAGAAACTGCCAACAGTGTTTGAGAAACAAACCTTCACTGCAGCCCCCCACCATTGCAACATACTCACTTTCTCCTGAGGACAATGCGATGGACCGCTGACAACGTACGTAGCTCTCCATGAGGCAACCGTTCAAACACAGCTGTGCTGAACTCACTGAACGGCGAGTGTCTCGTTGTCCAGCATAGTCTGCATCACACATTACTTCCAGCAAATGATTGCTGTCATCCACACTCCATTCATAGATGTCCTCATTGGTGTTGAGCACGCTCTTTCCTCTTTGCCCATGCTCCAACAGCAAGCCTTTGTCCATAGTTCCCAGAAGGTAAGAACTCACATGTTGCATAGCTTGCCATCCTTTCTTTGTGGGTCTCTGCATCAACGAAGCCAGCCCTTGAGCTACAAACTGTATGTCCGGCCTGTCTGGTGCAATGTATGGGAGTTTTCCCACTGCACTTCTGTACAAAGTCACCTGTGCTGCAGGAATAGCCTCATCATCTTTCTTCAGCTTCGTGAAGTTACCATCGCCTGGTGTCGATCTGGGCTTCCTGTTCAACACATTTGTGACTTTGGCCAACTCTTTGATGTGCTCTTGGTCTGGCCTGATGGTGATGCCCTTGTCCACGATCTCCATGCTCCTCTTCAGGTAGTGGAACGGACCTGCATACAATGGCCCCCTCTTCTCTACCTTCCACTTGGCTTCTATGAACTTGATGAATCGCTCAACCTCCTCCTCAACTCCAACGATCAGCAAATCATCAACGTGGATGGTCAGGTAGAGATTTCGCTTGTTTCCACCTTCACTCTTCTTAGATGACCTCATCATCGTTGGTTGCATTACATCCTGCTCCAAACCAAACTCTTTGGCCACCTGACAAAATCCTTTGAACCACTGGGCAGCTGCATTCCGTTGGCCTGGCAGATTCTTCTTCAATCTGTACTTGCCATTCTCTGTGATGATCATGGCTTTCTCATCCGCCGGCTGGTCCATCAACAGGAATCCATCTTTGACATCTAATGTGTACAAGGCATACCCAGTGATCATCTGAAGGTGCAACAGCATACGGACGACCACTGACGCTGAGGTTGGTGCAAAAGCATCCTCTGTAAACACTGACCACTTGAACTGGCGGCCTACCAGTCGGGCTCGCCTGAACCAACCTCCTTGTTCATCTCGGTGCTTCCAGGTCACCACCATCTTTGAAGTCAAGACATAGGAACCTTCCTCCTCTGTCTCTTCCTCTTCTCAAGGCGCTCTTCTTCGATCTTGCATGCCTCAGTGCCTAACACCTTCAATTCCTCATCAGTCAGCTCTGGGGGCTTTTCTTTGATCA